TAGGAAAAATGTCCAGTTTTTAATGTGTATTTTTGAATCACTCTCTTTGATATTGACACCTACAATTTTATCTCATATGCAGGGCCGGATTATCCTATAGGCTAGTATAGGCTGCAGCCCCGGGCTTGGTTATAAAAAATCTGTTTTTTTTTTTTTTTTTTTCACTACGGTTGTGTTGAAATATAGTAAAATAGTGGTATTTAAAGAAACAAACAAAAGATAGCTATGCTCGTTTATTTAAAGAATTTGCAAGTTTACTTCAAGCTATGTAAATGTCGCTAAAATATATCACGAGTAAAAAATATTCTGAAGAACAACATGCCGACTAGAAATATAGGCTAATTTCATTAGCCTAGGGGCCCCAAAAGGTCATAATCCGGCCCTGCTCACATGTATGCTGTGTCTTTGAGATTATATTGTCTGTGGTTTTCTGGCTCCTGCCTTTCCTTTGACCATGGCTCTGACCACTGATGCCAATACCCCCTCCTTGATGTTTGCTGTCAACTCTATCCATTCTGAATCATCCACCCAGGTCATTACTCAACCTTCAGAATACACCTCTTCCTCTCTCCCAATGTCCTCCACTCCATCTCCTTTTGCACTGTTTTCTTCATTGTCTATCCCCTTATTACTACTCTTCATCCTTATTCGTCCTCCATCCCACATTACTATCTCACTCTACACCACCTATCTTCCCACCCTCGTCCTTCTACTGTTTCCACCTCTGCAGACTTTTTGAGTACTCTTTTTGGCCCAGCCAAGTGGGATCAATTCTTTGTGATTCCTGCTACAGCCCCTTACTCTGACAATAACCTTCTCTTCCAGCAATATCTCCAAAAATAAGTAGGCAAAGTTTCCTTTCCCAGTTGTTCTGATCGTTCATGCCTTGTCACAGTTGCATCTGAATCCCAAGCTCATGCACTATCTACCCTGACTGACCTCTTTGGCAAACCTATTCATGCCCAACCTCACTTCTTCCTTAATGCTTGCACCAGAACTGTTTCTGTCACCCTGACTGACTGTCATCTCTATGACAAGGATTGACCTGCTCATTTGCCTTGTCATTATGATGCAGTGGCAGTACAGTACAGTCCAAGAGGACAGCATAAGTCCTACACCAATATTGCCAAGAATAGCTTCTGAAGATATTACCTCCCCCATGAAGCTTATATTGGTGGAGTGTCCTGCCCTGTCTGACCATATTCAGCACTTCCCCATCAGTGCCAGAAATGTTGCCATTTTGGCCACCCAGCCAAACACTGTCACTGCAGCCTGCTGCCCTTTATGTGCTCAACCTGGTCATGATCATTCAGAGTGCTCTGCTCGGCCATTCCAGTTATATTGGCTCCCATAATGTATTTAATTGGAGCGGCCCTACCTACAAACATGAACCTATTCCAAACTGTTTTTTGCTCTGCTCCACTCTCATCTTCTCAAGATGCCTCAGTATCTCCCCCAGTATTTCTTCCTTTTACCCCAAACCATCCTACCTCTACCCCCTCTCTCTCCCAGTCATATTCCTTTTCCAGTAGAAATGCAGATACTCCAATCTCTACCACTTTCCTCCTCACCTTAACTATCACACCAGACAATCTAAAGGTTCCACCCCATCTCCTACTACATCCTCTTCTACACCTTCCACTTCCACTTCTCTTCCTCTCTCTCATCCACCCTCACAATTCCTCTAGAATTTGCTGATATCCATTCTCCTCCTCAAGTTCTCCCTACCCCTCTTCCTCCCACCCTCTCCTAAAACATCCTATCCTATCCTTCTCCATATACACCACCATTCCCTCCTCTCTCCCCATTATTCCTTACCATTCCCACCTAGACATTCACATGATTCCTTTCTGTCACAACAGTGTCTTTTTCCAGATCCTCCCCTCCCGTCATTCTTCCTGATACTTCACCACCTTCCCCTGTTGCCTTATCTCATTCTCTGGATCCTTCTCCTAATTCTTCAATTCCCATTATTACCTGTCAATTGTTCCATAATGGCTCTTTTGCAATTTTCCACATACAGTGTAACTCTCCCTTCCTCAGACACACATTCTCCATTTGATCTAATCACACTATTCCCTCAACCTCTTCTCCTTTGAAAATCCCTGCTGTACTCCATTTGCTCTCCCCTCCTTACCCTTTTCACTACCATACTATCCAATAGTGCTGTGCAACCTTTGACAACTTTACACATTTATCCTAATTGCACTCAATTTTTACCCTTTTTGCCGTAATACTGTAGTGCTATATGATCTTTGATGTGTAGCACATTTATTGGTTTTAACCTTTTAACCATAGCAGAAGTGTGGAGTATCATTGACAAAAAGGTTTGTAATACTTTAGTAGCCCAAGGTAAAGGAAACTGCTCTTTTTTTGCATCTGTTGGCTATACATCTATCCATTTATGAAGGGTCTGGGATCCTATGTAATTGGATTATATTTTATTTTTATATACTGCGGTCAAAGATTTTTATTATGAACATATTCCTTTGAATGTATA